GGACGGCCAGTAAAGAGTGCCGAGTTTAGTAGGTATTGGTGATGCGAGGCTGCTAACACAAGGAAGTCAACAAGGACGCAGGGATCGAGAATCAAAGACAAGGATCAGTACTGCAGCCTAAAGCGAAACACGTGCTTGGACTTGGAGCTGAGTGGAGGATACAGGATAGTTAAAAATAGCAAAAAAGAAAAAAATCAATAGGGAAAGATATGGTTTGTGAATGGGAAAGGGAGGGATCGGTGGTAAAACCGAGATTCCTGGCAGAGAGATCAGAATAGGTGAACAGGAGAACCATAGAGAATTTCAGATCGTGAAGGGTTAGGAGAGTTAGGTTGAGTACGTCCATGTAGAAAGGGCTGATAGGCAGTTAGATATCCATGAAGGCAATTCAGAGTGGTACGATAGGAATGAAAGAAATAAAGATCTGAGATCTGTCAGCGTGAATGTTGTAGAAGGGAGGAAATAGAAGAAGTACAACACTCAGTATAAAGACAGAAAAGTTCCCTGAAGTGATCCTTGTGGAATCCCTTTGGAAAGAGGCAAGACGAGGAGAGGGCGGCTCTCTACAGTACTGAATGGAGCAGTCGGAGAGAGGGGAAGACAGCCAGTCAAGGGTACCAAGTTGAGAGAGTGAAGATAAGAGGATAATGTGGTCAAAAGCTGCATCAAAAAGTGTCGCGTAAAACATGCATAGAAGCAGCATGAGCTGCAGATAATGCAGTTTCTGTGTAATGTGCAAGGCGTATGTGAGACCAAAGAGAGCAGTGGTGATGCAGTATAGTTGTTGAGCTGTTTATACAAGAGCCTTAGAAAGGAGATTCAAGACACAGGACCATAATCTGGGGAGAGGAGAAATCCAGGGAAAGTTTGTTGAAATCATATCTTATCTGAGTCTTTACTGTATATATGCTGAGACAATAGATGTATCATAACTTTTAAATGTTATAAGTTTGTTTTGCCCTCACTTGCTCAGTGTGGTATTTGAGATGGTGTGCTGTCATTTATTAGTGGCTTCAGATATAGAATGTACAGTACACAGGTTTACAGTAAGTATTGACTTACTACTATGAGCAAACAAATTCAAATACCTTCTCAAATACAGTTTTACAGTTGTTGTTTGAATCATGAACTCTGTAAGGTGGATTCAGTAGTGATAGTTGTAGTCCAGTTGTAGGTAGAAGTTACTTGTGTGTTATGTACCTACAGGTAGATCAACTTCTGTTTAACATTGGTTATACATTCTGAATGCTGAATGCATATTATATTTGATAAATTTAAAGTTTATTTTTATCAGCTGTCAATACCCACTAGGTTTTTGATTTGTAGATTTATACTGTATCGTTTATCTGAATTCTTCAAATTACTTGTGACTATATTAATAGGTCCGCTAGCTTTTAATCTTTTCTGGCATAGATCTCTTTAGTGCTGATAAACTTGTTTTTCCTTGAGTTTCACATGACAAGCCTGGTGCTTCTTAAAAGTGAATTGAGATGTGGAGGCATTAAACATTCTGAATATACCTGGGAGGTAAAGAAAGGCTCAATTGATGCATTTCTGGTCTGACTTGGTTGTGAAGCCTTTCATTACCTGGGCTTTTGCTGTTGAACAGCTGCCACAAACCAACCCGAATGAAAAGCATGCAGTTAAAAACTGTTTACAGGAAGTATTAGAAATCATAACAAACTGTGGTACAGTAGAGCCTTGCATGTGATTTTCCATGATATCATTTCTAATGTTACATTTTCTTATATACAGTATAATATTTCTTAATATAGTGTACCGTTACCAGGATTTTTGTTTTTTATTATTTTTCAAAACCATTGGAACAAATAAGCACTTTCCAAATGGTATGTTGGGAAGACTTTGGCCGGATTTTGTGTTTGAAACAGCCGTGAGACTCAAACACACAGAGAGAGAGAGAGAGGTAAGCTGGCTCAGTGTGTAGCTTAGAAGACGCAGTACAGTACCTACAGTAAGTTAAAACTGAAGTATTCATATATGGGGATTTTAAAGGGGATCCAAAGATCATATTTACTGTAGTTGACTTCATGCACTACACATAGTCGCATATATCACACTGCAGCTGGAAAAAGGTGTTTTTTTAAATGTACACAGATACATACATACTGTATACAGTAGATGCTTGGGCAGAGGAATAATGTACAAAAAAACCTTATTCTTAAAAAAAACAGGGTATGGGTATTTCTGGAACCATATATTCATCCTTGCTCTAGTGCCTGGTAAAAACATGCATATTCCCGTGCATATTATCTTGAAAATAATTAAATATTTGAAGCTGACTTATTAGCTAAGCATTGCTTCTAATTTCTGGAGTTTTCTTGGCATTACTGAAAGGTTACTACGGCAGCTTTCGGTTGGTTTGCCACCACTGTTGTATTGCTGCTTGAGTGGCTGTTACTCCCTTGACATCGTGTTGTTGGAATTCCTTGATGAAAAGTGAGCAAAAACACATCAAAAACAAAGCATATCCCAGAGGAAGAAGTGTATATACTAGAAACGCCCAGTTTAAGTTTTTTTTTTTTTCGATTTTGAAAGCATGCAAAGCTGTTATTGGACAGAGGGCAAAAGCTCTGTTAATTAAACCCTGTGAGCCTGAAAATGATGTGTTATCCGATTCAGGGGCAAGTTGCTAAAATCGTTCAATACACATAATTCATCATTTTCCTAGTGGCTTAACCTCTAAACCACACTTTTCAGCACCTGACACCTGATATCCGTTGGCTCTCACCTTGGGGAGTTGAAAGAAGCACATGGACCTGAAACACAGAGCTGTTGTGGAATCCGAATACAGTGTGGGCAGTCATGCTTACCGGTGTTGAAAATCTGTTGGCCTCAACTGTTTCGAGCTTTTTTTTTTGGTGCATTTCCATGGTTGCATATTGAATTCAAGTCTCACCAGAATCTTGTTTATCATCGGTGCTCCTGTGAATCAACAAAAACTTCAAAGAATGTATCTTATTGAACACATTTCACTTATTTTATCCTTTTCCTGTTGCTGAAGCGTGAGTCCATCAGGTTATACAATAGTAGTGTTGTTTTTAATATGCATGTAGTAATTCAGTTATGAAGCAGAAAAATATTTTTGAAAATAAAACCTCAGGTAAAAAAAAAACATATCATATAACTGGCAATCTCAAATATTTTCCCTTTTCTTCATTCATGTGGTAAATATTTTAACCATATATCATACTGTATACTTTGTTTCTGGGATGATGTAAGATCTAACAATCTTTTTTATAACAGTTGCAGGTGAGGTATAGTGTATTTGTGTGAGATGTGGTTTACATACAAGATGAAGCATGGGTGTTGCTGTGTGTTTTTGCCCAAAGGGTTAAAGTGCACTGTTTCTTTTTTCCTGTGCCGAAGGTTTCTTTCCTAATCGGTATAGAAGACAGCATTAAATGTATTACTACACATTCACAGCAGATTGGAAGTTGCATCTGGAGCCAGGCATCACAGCACAAATTCTAGAAGCATAGTGAGCAGAAACAATCTGACGTTGTCGTTGTGCAATCAATCTTAGACCCGAGCATGTGCAAAATCTCTCATGTGAAAATGACTCTTTTCTTATCAAGCACAAATGGTAAATGAAGGACCATTTTTATTGCTTGGTTAGCTTTTTGTGCCTGTTCAAGGGGCAACATTTTAACCTCCTTCAATTGTCAAGAAAGCTCTTATTTTTGATATAGTCATTTGGCGTTAGAAAATAAAGTCCAGCTGCAACTAAAGGTTCAGTATTGACAGGCTGTCTTTCCTACTTGTTTTTGTGGAGTATTTAATATTTAAGTAGGTTTTGGCCAAAACTAGAGAAGCAGGATTCTTAGAAATTTTTTTCTTAGAATGTTTTCCTTGATTTAAACACCACATTTTTAAATAGGAAATGTACTAATGTGAAGTACACATTGCTGAGGAATATATGATTGTCATGATTGTGCAAGGCATTATTGTAATATTTTTATTTTTTGCTCTCTCTTGCTCTTCAAGGCTTTTAACAAGTTATATGTACACAATAAGAAGTCCTCATAACTTTGTACACACTCAACTCAAATGAAAATGTCAAAACATGTGACTCCAGATTTTCTGACTTACAGTAGGTCCTATGTGAGCCCAATACAAATACCCATGTTAATACAGTTTTCGTATTATCTTGTCTATAAAAAATGAGAGACGCTGTGAGACAGAATCTATGCGCTTTAAGCACAGGGCTTTGCTTTGTTGTCATTCACAAACAAACTACCACAGTGTCTTGCCTTAAATAATTTTGAATGAAGCACAACATTGTCAGATTATGAAAGGCCTAGCTGTCTTCGAGTCTGTCGCAAATATTTCAGCTGTGCCCTTTCATGTCATGCTGCTTATTTACCTACATATAGTACCGCGGTAATACTCTGAAGATAGGCACGCAGAATGTCATTTGTGTACATGCTCTGAATTCGAGCCGCCATGTCCCAGTCACGCCTTGCAGTTTCTTTTCCCTTTGAAGCCAGTAACTGAAAGGCTGGACTCTGGCCATTTAAAGTGTCATCAGTGCAGTCTTTGCGGTTTGTGAAGGAGAGGTGTGCGTGAAGTGAACTGTTTATTTTTTCCACAGATCTCAGATTGGCCAGGCCAGCCCATTTCCCAGCTCTGTTTGGAAAGGGTTAGAAAAACACTGGGGCTGGTGGGGGGCAAAGTTCAACTCGCACCATATCGGCGTTAGGAAGATCACCGCTCTAGATACCTCAAACACTTCCTCTTCACATTTCCGGGCACGGACAGCTTTCTGGGTGAAGACAGAGAGAAGAACACCCATTCGCATGCAGGACTCGCACATGTCACCTCCTGCAGCAGAGCAGCGAGATTGTGGCCTCTGAGCTCATTTGACACAGCCTTTGGTGGGCAGACTGAAAGTGATAAACAGTCACTCAGCTGCCGTCGCGAATGGGACCAGCGCGGCTAACAGCATGACTTTCTCTTTCATTCTTTTTGTTTGACCCCAGTGGCTCTTGGAAGCAGAGAGAGTCGCTGAGGGACCTACAGTGCTGGGGCCATGGTGGAGAGCAGACACCTGGAGAAGAGAGCTTTATGGAAACGCCTGTCATTGGACAGCAGCCTGGTGGTAAGCGCACACTTGTACATTCTGTTAGCGTCCGCTGCGAAGCCTTTACTAGTTCAGGAAAGCAAACAGATAAGCGGAAACACTGCTGGTGGAGGGGACACACGCCTACAGCCTGCCACTGAATGAATGAAGTGGACGCACTTTGTCTTCATGCCTGGAGAACTCTTGCTAGCATTACATTTAATAGAATTTACTTTTATTTATTACCTTTTAATATTTTCACTGTGAAGATGGCATTTGCACAAGACGGCAAGCAGAACAGCACACCAAGATTCTATGTCGTTCATTTAGGTATTTTTAGTTCACCTTAAATGTAAAATAAGAACTGGGGTATTTCTCTCTGGAATACAAGCATTGTTTTTGTTTGTTTTTGTGTGGTTTACGTATAGTGTGTTAATGCACTTTTACGGTGAGATATGTAGAATTAATTTTTTCATTTGTTTTTCAATATTTCCTACTGTAACATAAGTTTCCAAGGTAATGCTCTGCTGTTTCCTACTGTAACGCTAGTCGGAATCAAACGTTTTTTGAGAAAGTTCTCTGTGGCCTAGTTGTCTTAGTCTTCTGCAAAACAATATGAACCTGCACTGATAAAATAATAATGTAATAAATGAGAGGCTTTTAAAATTAAAATTACTGAAGATGTTATTCTCATAATTGTAATAAATCTGAAGACTTACTAATAACAGTTTTTTTGTTCTAGAGAAAAAAAGTACAACGATAAATGTGAATATACTGTGCTGTATGTACACTGTCTATATATTCACCTAATCCTAGGTTTGTGAAAGTATTTACAATTCAGTGGGAGCTGGAATGAGAAGACTCAATTTAGCAAGGGGGTAATCCTGACGGTTTGGCTTGAGTTACTATAAGCAAAACAAAAGTAAATAAAACGTTAAAAAAGAACATGGCTTGCACTTAATTATACATGATGGCTGGTGTACACCTTTAATTAGAAACTTAGGATCATTTAAGTTTTAGCCCCTGTTTAAATTTGTATTTAGCATGTAATGAATTGCTATTTATAATTTTGGAAAAGAAATGAAAGGAACACATATTATTATAGATTTCTCAGCGAACAGGACTAGAAGTCTGTTAGATGAAAAAGCTTTACAAATGTTACAGTATGTGTGGTGGCTGATTCTACTCTGAAAAAAAAGGTTGCAAATACTGTACAGCTTGTGTCAAAGTTATGTTACTACTTTCATTTTCTTTGCCATAAAAAAAGTGTAAGTAAATAGTTCTGTTATCAGTTATTACCCTGGTATTGTAAAGATGAGCTCATATGATACTGATTTGTTACTTGGTCATAAAACTATTGTTCTAAGGAAGATGAAAAGAATATATCCATATTTATAGCTTCCACAAGTAATAAAATGGAAGTATGTCATTTCATAGAAGGGGTGTGGCAGTTCATATTCATATTCAATCCCAAATATTCAATCAAAATTCATTCAACCATTCAATCAAAATATGTACTGGTTTGCTGCATAAATTGCTAATAATATCAATAGATTTAATTTGATTATTAATATATTATATAGTTTTGTATCCCATTTTTTACAACCTTTGTATGTTGTAAAGGATATTGTGTCTCTGGGGCAAATTATTAATGCTGATGAAAAATTTGATAGCCAGATTAGAATATTGATGACTTGTGAATGCTTTGTTCCTTGGGATAAACATTTGGATTGATTATAAATCATACTGTTTAAAAGAGTAAAGATGGAGGATCAAAGGATATGAATTGTTTTACTGTTAGTCTGCTGTGATCACAACTATTTTCAAGGGGAAAGAAGATAATAAAGCAATAAAACTTTTAAGTAAATTTTTAATTCAGTAACTATCTAGTATTGGAAAGATGTTTTTCCACAACTCTTCAGTGGTGGAAAAAGTACCACGCCAGCTAGTATTGACTGCCAGTTCCATCCATCAAACTCCAACAACTGCCCTTAAGAAAGATTTAAAAGCTTTTTTGGGCACAGAGGGCACAGATAGTCGCAATGTTATTGCTGCATCCAGTCATGCTGTTACTGATTAAAGGGCTAACCCTCCCACACATGAAATCATGCTTGTGCTCCTGGAGAAAGACCTTTTTGTTTTTCATGAATCTGAAAAAAATTAAGACGGAAAAAATGAAACCTTTTTTTCTGTTAAAATGGATTATTTAAAAAAGGAAGCAGTTGATCCGTAGTTGACAGGTAAGAGGATCTTCTGTGTGACAATAGGATTCTAGGAAATAGTTAATTTCGATTTAGAAAAGGCAGGTCTTGCCTGACTAATTTGTTTGTTCTTCAGATAAGCAACAGCAGTAATGGCTATTGACCATGTGATATGGTATATTTAGATTTTAAGAAAGCTTTTGATAAAGTGACTCATAAAAAGATTTATTCTGAAATGAGGCAGTAAACGGGAGGACTGAAAGCAGTATAGATAAGGGGTGAAAACTCAAATTGACCTGATGTCAATTAACCTGATGTCATTAGTGGACTACTTCAAGGTTTATTATTCATACCATGGCTCTTTCTATAATGATCTACAACGTGGTATAGTACAGTATGTCAATTAGTGAAGGTTGCAGATGATACCAAATGAGAAGGATTTGCACACGCTGTAGAACCTTTGAAACAGAAGATAAAATAAGATTCAGATAAAATTAAAGATTGGGAGGCACCTGTCAAATGTTATTTAATGTAAACAAGTACAGAGTATTACACAAAGGTAACAACACATTAACTAAGAAACTAAGATGGGAAACACTGACCTTAGAGAAGCTACTTATGAAAAATATTTTGGTGTCTACTTTGAGACTTTATTGGAATCTTTCAGACAATGTGAGGAAGCAATAAAATATAGGTGGCGAAGAGAATGTGAGGATATTTTGTTAAAATATAGACTTTAAATCAAAGTATATAAATTCTAAAATTGTATAATGCAGCAGTAAGACTTCCTTTAGAATATTGTGTGCAATCTTGATCACCACATGACAAAAAAAATTATTGAGCTCTGGAATCACTCCAGAGAAGAGCAACCAGATTCAGGAGGAAATGTTCAGACTTTCTTCAGACAGCTGACTAGTTCCAGACCTTTACAGACCTTTTTGTAAAGAAGGGGCACTTATTCGTAGACTTATAAAACAGACTCTGGATTTGACTTATCTCGTACTTATGGGAAGGTGGCATAGAGCCTATAAGAAAGGCTATTATGAACAAAAACAAACCAGATGCCATCCGAGCAAGGAGCCTGGTTTCTTGGCTGGGATCTTTGAGAATGACATCTTCCCAGTGTCAGAGAGGCGCTGCTGTGGAAATGTTCTTCATATTTTGCTTCAGGCATCTGTGGATTTGCAGTTTTAACCCTAATATCCCTCATGGAGATACAGTAGACTCCGTAAACCATGCAAACAGCCCTTTTCCTAGGAGGATATGAAACCCTGCTCCATTTATTATTCCAGGCATCTACAAAAATAAAAGGCTCATTTCTTGCATTCCTCCTACCGATTGGACCATGTTGAAATGCCTTAAAGTGGAAAAGTGGAAGTAAACCTTTCCATCTTGATACACAAAAGCAATGTATTTCTGCCTTGAATCATTTATCCACCAGCCAGCAGTTTACATGTTGTGGCTGCTGAGCTTGAGACGGCGTGAAATAACATCTTTGGAGGTGGTGATGGTGGGGGGTGTTGGAAGATGTGTCTTAAGTTCTTGCCTTTTCAAAGGTTTTTTTCAAAAGGATCTTGAAGTGTTAAAGATTTCTGGCGAGATGGGAAAGTGTGCAAGGCAAATCAAGAATCAGACAGAGTACAGTTTGCTTCATAGAACCTGAAAAGATCTTGTGGTGCCTTGCTAAGAAAAACAGATCTTTTGATATTGTCGTTTGCACTAGTTTGTTTACATCCCGCATGAGCATCTGCTTGTACACGAGTGATGTGTTTTTATAGCTGTGGTATGGAATGACAGACGAACTTTAAATGCAATGACTAGGTACTGTTCACTTTATTTAAAAGGTAATTTTTGGTTATCTTTAAAAAGCAGGCAAGCACTCTGTGCATGCATATACAGTATATGTAATATTACTATATGCATGGTTTCTGCATACCACACAAAGGGAAGCAGAGTATGTAGAGTTTATATGTGGTTAAAAAATAATTTTCATTGACTTTCATATAACCAAATTGATTGAGTTCATAAATAATGTTAATTGAAAGCGATCAAGACATATATCTGGAGTAAAGTATTTTAGCACTTGTCTTCTCTTGTTCTTTCATTGCAGTTTTTCCAAGGGTCTTAGCCCTTCTGTAATTCTCTCTGCAGTGTTAACCTTTAACATTTTCAGTTTTTATGTGTTTGTAATCTTAAGTCCTCTTGTAGTCAAATAAGGGTTTAATTAGACATGAATTAACCCTGTAGTAGAACTTACATAAACCATGCTAGTGTCATTATTTTGACTGATAATTTGTTCATTGCAAAAACATGCATTAGTTGATGATAAACTGCACAACTTATATTACAGTACAAGTACGAGCTTAACTGCTTTAAATCTATAGTTTCCTGTTTGTGCAAATAGTGTCGCTTAGTACAAAGGCTTGTATCTCCCTGATAAACAGAAAGCTCTTGAAAAACTTTACTATGGGGAAATTGTGGCAAGCCTGTATAATTGTTTTTTGTTCTATGTGTGTGTTCACTTCTGTATTCCTGGATGAGATGGTTTTTGGAATGTACTTCTAAGGACATGTGAAAATCAGAGTTGGACAGCTGCCAAGTGTCAGCTGATTGACTTCTGGCTGAAATAGGATAGCTGCCTTCTCCAACGGGATGACACAGGCAGCTTCCTCCGAAATAGACAGCAGTGTGTTCATGATCTGTTTTATAAGGGTCCCCAGAGGTCAGTGTTGTAGTTTTAGAATGCTAGGAAGTCACTAAACTGTGACAAGCCTGGAACCTTGGCCATTTAATACTGCGGTCTAACCAGACCTATGTGTCTTGTGAAGGTGAGGTTCC